GTCCAGGAGGAGAACCAGGGCTGCCCATCATGCTGCTTGCACCCACCTGCCTTTTCCCCTCAGCAGCCCCAGCAGCTTCCCTGGAGAACCCAAGGAGCAGTTAGGGAAGGGGACTGAACGATCCTGTTCTCACCAGGATTTTCACCTGCAGAAGCTCCTGCCCAGCCTCCTGTGTCTGTTCCCTGCTGGGACCAAGACAGGGTCACCAAGCCCTGGAGGGTGCCCCCAGGGTGCCACCCACGGCTCCCCCGAGGATGGGCAGCCAGAAGGGGCTGGTTTGTGTCCCCTGAGGGGCCCCGTGCTGGGGACAGCTCTCAGCCTCTCCCCAGCCCAAGGGGCCATGCTGGGGTTGGTGCTGGTGGCAGGGGGGCTCTGGGGGGCACAGTGATGCATTCCAGCTGAAACTTGTATGGCAGAGGTATTTTAAGTATATTGGCTTAAAGAAAATGGTTGTGAGCTTTGCTGGGGCAGATTGACAATTAATTTCTTTTCTTTTCCTTTTTTTTTTCCTTTTTTTTTCTTTTTTTTTTTTGCAGGGCCATAAAAATTCCATTTCTGCTGTGGAAACTTTTAACCCCTTCCTTACCCTGTGCTTGTTTCCAGGGGTATTAATGGGGGATTATTTTAACTGATGGCTCCCCAGTGAACTGTTAATAAATTTTGGGGAAATGTGTGTGTTCTTTGTGCTGGGCTTTTTATCTGGACCATGTTCACAGTGACCTGTGTATGGCTGTCACCTTCCTGCTTCCCTGCTCCTGTGTTTTGGGCAGTGTAAATACTGATCTGTGCTGTGGCAAAGGGGAGGAAAAAGACTGAGCATGGGTCTGATAGTCCAAAAGTGGAGTAAAAGTGAATGGAAAGGTGTTGAGGAAGGGTAACTGAGCTGCATGGCCAGTGGAGTGTGAGGCTGCCCTGTGACATAGGAGTACAGGAGGGAGGGACATGGAAATGGGGAGTGGGCTCTGTGGTGGGAGCACTTTTGAATATCCTGCTTCATTTCCAGGTTGCCCAGATGTGCATTCAAGTCCCCATCACATCTGGAGAGTGCAGTGATTTATTTTTCATGTGCATGGTCCTTCCCTATGGGCACCTCTTCAATGTGTTTTGAGAAGCTCTTCCTTGCAGCCATGTATTGAGGGGGCCATTTGACCTGCTGGGAGGAGGTTTGGTGGCTTAGGAAAAGCCAAAGAGTGAATCAGAGCCGTTTGTTTCTTGCGCTTCGTGATCTGCCCATGTTTTCCATCCTGCTTTCAAGTGCAACATCAAGCAGTGGGACTGTGCAGCGTTTTGTTTTGGAAAAAAAGCATCTTTCTTTTCTCTTTTAAAGCACTCCTTTGAACTTTACTGGCATAAAACGCTGTCAAATCACAAATAGTCTCAAACCTCAAGTTATTTTCTTTACCTCCACACTCTGCAGGGAGCGACAGCAGCAGTGCTGCTAACGCTGGCAGGATTTACAGTGTTTGCTCTCTGCATTTATTCCCAGACCCGGATTCCTCTTGCCTGAGCCACGCAGGAGCCTTTTCCCTTTAAATTCTGGGTTGGATTCTCCTATCTTGTTCCTTTATCTCTAATTGTTTGAATTCACTTTGGGGTCTGCTGCCATCGCTACGTGGAGGAAGCAGCAGCGGAGGAGGGAGTAAACAAGAGGCAGAGTTGCAGCCCCTCCATCTGATGGATGAAGGTGGCTTTGATGGAGGAGATAGCCCTGACGCCAGCCCCTCTGGAGCTGCTACAAGTTGTAGCTGCCTACAATGATAGTTGTTAAAAACCCCTCCTGTACCACTGCGGGACTCAAATATTTTCCTTTCTTCAAAAAGAACGCTAACAAGCCCGCCTCTGTTCTAGCAGAAGTGGGAGGGGGGGGAAAAACAGAACAAAAAGTGGATTTTCTTGTCTGTGCATAAAGGGCAGCATGGAAAAAAAGAGGAGGGAAAAGTGGAATATTTATTTAAAAGGCAGAGGAGGAGGTGGTGGTGTGCCGGCCGCCCCTGCTCTCTGCAGAGTGGTAGTGGCTAATAGCTGGAGGCGAAACTAATACTTGGCAGGGGATGAGACACAGCACAGGCCCCCCTGATTTGGGGGCTTGCTGAAGTGCTTGTTTTATGTCAGGCCTGCGGGATGAGTTCATCTTTGCAGGAATTGGTTGAGTGCACTGGGAGATAAAAGGAGGGAGAGGAACCCACCGCAGCACGGGGAGCGCTGGGAGAGGGACCCTGCGACAGCTTCCTGCAGGCAGGGGCTGCTCAGATGAGCCTTGAGCTGTCCCCTTCCAGGGGGTTACTTCCCTGTGGGTTACTTTTTTTTTTTGGATTTTAAACTTTCCTCTCCCTTGGCCAGAAGAAGTGGGTTGAAAGGAAACTTCTCACTTCTTGAGGTGCAGTTACCTGAAACTCGTGGTCACCTGTTTGAAGGAGCACAGGACTTCTCCAGGAGGGCTGTGAGCTGGCACTGCCAGGCAGGGGCTGTGGGGTGACAGAGATGAGGCAGTGGGCTGCATTCATGGATGGATGGAGGGAAGTTCCTGCCATAAATTGCATGGAAATGCTTTTAATAAAGCTATTTCACATGCATGTGAAACGCATTCCTTCCCCTGTTTTCATGGATGATTTTGCTTAGATGTTTCCCAGTTCCTGGAAAGGACAGATGGCACCAGGGCTGTTGGCACCTCCAGCAAAATATTTTTTGTAGGATAGACACTGTTTTCCTCCAGCTTTACTTTCCCCCCCTTGGATATTAATTTGCACTAAACCATGAGAAACTCCTATTTAAATGTTTATTGCTGACTCTTCCCCTGGTTAATGGAGCTGCTGGGGACACTGGAGGTTTGAAGTTGTCCCATCCTTAATCTGTAAGGGAAATGCAGGGGCTGAGCAGTAGTTTCTCGAAAATGTAATAACAAAACCAACATAGCTAATGGGCATGGAGGGCTTTGAGGAGGTTGGGAGGTTAAACAGATGCAGAGCTCAGTAATTGCTACCAGCCTCCAGCCCCGGCACATGAAAGGCCCTGAGCTGCTGTGCAGCCCCCAGATCACTTGAGTGGGACAACAGCAAAGTTCAGTGTTTGGGGAGAGCTTTGGGGAAGGCATTGGGAGCATCTGTAGGATGTCCCAGGGGAAAAATGAGTGTGGAAGCTGGATGCTGTGGAAGATGGATGGGTCTCTTAGCACCCTGGTTTAGTGGAAGTTGTCCCAGTTGGTGGCAAGGGGATGGACTGAGATGGTGTCCCCAAAAATGTGACCTGTGGTGGGTGAGGGGGGAAACACTGACATGGTTCCCCCCAAAATGTGACCTGTGGTGGGTGGAGGGGCTGCTTCAGGCTGATGAGCACTGCCCACAGCAAAGGGCATCCTGCTGCCTCCCCGCCTGCCCCGCCACCTCCTCCCCCACGGCCCTCCCCTTAAATTTGTATAGTTACAACTCCAGTTAAACTCCAACAAAGCCGCTTAATTCAAAGCTGGTTAATGGGGAGGGGAGCCCGGTCTCCTCCGGGGTAATTTGAGCCTGAAAAGAAGCGGGGCTGGAGGGCTGTGCCTGAAATCCGGTGTGTCAATGGGGGCTCTGGAGCAAAATAATGGCATCACCCCGCGGGCGAGTTAATGGGACATGATGGCACGGAGGCACCGGGGTCAGCAGGCCGCGGGCACGTGAGGGATTGTCAGGGAGCTTAATGCCGGCCACGGAGCGCGGCTGGCCCGGAGCAGAGCTCCTTGCTGGAAATTCCACGGCGGTTTTCCGTTAACCGGTGTGGTAGGAGCAGGAATGATGTTCAGCAAGTGGTTAATTCGCCCTCTTTGGGGCTCCTTCTTTTCCTGTCTTCCTTCTGGAGAGATCATAAATTCTGGAGGCATCATAGATTAAACAGATTTCTGGCAGCCTGCGTCCCTCCCGTCTTCCCTGAGTGTAATTCCTAGAAAGAAGAGACGTCTCTCATTGTCTGGAGAGAGTTCCAGTGGGTTTTTAGAAGGACATGTATAGTTCATAGCAGCTACTCCCCCTTGGCATGAAATACTTCCTCAGATTTCATGTTCCCCTTGGGAACATCAGCGTCGCTGTCAGAGAATATTACATGGAGGAGACACCCGGCGGGTCACTCATCCAGGCACATCCTGGACATCCCTGGGGGTCAGCTGGGCACAAGTTGGGCTTGGAAGGTGGGGCTGCAGGAGCACAGGGATGCTGGGGAGCCACCAGGCTCAGGATACCAGGACAGTGTCCGTGCCAGATCCAGTGGGAGGAATGCAAATATCCTAAGGACACGTGGGCCCAGCTGTGCATGCAGGGTTGGACATTAAATTGGAGAGGGAGATGTGCTGAGCTCATGGGAGATGGTGGGTGTCCTGTCTCCAGCCTGGGCTTGAGCTGCCAGTCTTGCTGGCATTTGATGTAATTGAAGACAGGATTTGGGTTGAGCACAAGCTTTGGGTTGAAGATGGACTTTGGGTTGAGCACAAATTTTTGGGTTGAGCACAAACTTTGGGTTAAACACGAGTTTGGAAGTGAACGCAAATTTTGGGTTAAATACGAGTTTGGGTTGAACGCAAATACGGGGTTGAACATGAAGTTTGTGTTGAACACAAGTTTTGGGTCGAGCACAGGTTTTGGGCTGAGCATGAACTTCAGGTTAAATACAAATTTAGGTTGAATATGGAGTTTGTGTTGAACACAAGTTTTAGGCTGAGCACGAACTTTGAGTTAAATTCCAGCTTTGGCTTGAGCTCAAGTTTTGAGTTGAGTGTGAAATTTGTGTTGAACGCAAGTTTTGGGTTGAGCACCATCTTTGGGTTGAACACCAATTTTGGGAAGACCATAAAATTTGGGTTGAACACCATCTTTGGGTTGAACATGAAGTTTGTGTTGGACGCAAGGGCTGGGTTGAGCACAAGTTCAAGTTCTCACTGAGCAGAGCTGATGGGTGGGAGGAGCTGTTTCCCAGGCTCCACCCCTGTGGTTTCCCAGGTGATCCCAGCACTCCTGACTCCCTCTCTGTCCCCACAGACGCCAGCACGTCGCCCGATGCCGTGAAGAGGAGCCATTGGTGCAACGTGGCCTACTGGGAGCACCGGACGCGCGTGGGCCGCCTCTACACAGTGTACGAACAGTCTGTCAGTATCTTCTACGACCTACCTCAAGGAAACGGCTTCTGCCTCGGACAGCTAAACCTGGACAACAGGAGCGAGACTGTGAGAAGGACTCGAAGTAAAATCGGCTACGGGATTTTACTGAGCAAGGAACCGGACGGGGTGTGGGCCTACAACCGCAGCGAGCATCCCATCTTCGTCAACTCCCCGACACTGGACATCCCCAACTGTAGGACTCTGATCGTGCGCAAGGTGATGCCGGGCTACTCCATCAAGGTGTTTGACTACGAGAAGTCCTGCCTGCTGCAGCACACGGCCGAGCTGGATTATGCAGACGGGCCCTACGACCCCAACAGCGTCCGGATCAGCTTCGCCAAGGGCTGGGGGCCCTGTTATTCCAGACAGTTCATCACGTCGTGTCCGTGTTGGCTGGAGATCTTACTCAGCAACAACCGGTAACGGTCAGCCTCCCACGAAAGGAAAACGTCAACAGCAACAGCAAAACACACACACACAAAAAGAAAAAAAAAAAAAAAAAAAAAAAAAAAAAAAACACAGACTATCCCAAATATCATCTACCTAGATTTAATATAAAGTTTTATATATTATATGAAAATATATATTATACTTGTAATTATGGAGTCATTTTTACAATGTAATTATTTATGTATGGTGCAATGTGTATATGGACAAAAAACAGAAAATGCACTTTGGCTTATATAATTCTTTCAATACAGATTTTTAAAAAAAAAGAAAAAAAACAACAAAAATTATACAGCAAAAATAGGAGAAAGCCCTAATTTTGATGTATGGTTTTTTGAAATATTATTAATACCCAGACAAAAAGCTAATACCAGTCACTCATTGATAATAAAGTATTCGCATTATGGGGGGGGATTTGTCTTTTTTCTTCCCCCCCCAGCTGAAGTTGGCAGCAGTCAGGGGGGTTCCAGGGGGCAGCTGCTGTCTCCCATCTCAGCCAGGACCCTGGAAAAGCAATAAATGAGTTGGAAGGCTGCAGCTGGCTCCAAGAGGAGGGTGAGTGAGGCAGGAAGCACTGGGAGGAGGTGAGAGGAAGATCTGTAGCTCTTCTCACTCAGGGCTGTCTGACCTCTGTGATAACACAGAACAACATGGTGAGGATGAGGGTGCACATCCACACTGTGCAGATTGATCATCATCAGTGCTAATCAGTAGGTCTTGAGAAAAGCAGAATACTGCACGGCCACAAAGCTGCCCAGCAGGACCAGTTTGGATTTTTGTCCTTTCCCAGGGGTTGTCTGTGAGCCCTGCACGTCCCAGACGTGTTTGATGGTTGAGAAACAAATGGAGGTTTTGGACAACTCATGGTTGGGTGGGTCCTCCACTGGAGCATGGCCTGGATTTTGGGAATGTCTCCAGTGCCTCAGAGGAGCCATGAGCAGCTTTGTCCTGTAGATCTCCCAGTCTGTCATCCAGGCAATAAATGATCCAGGAGTGTTTGGGAAGAATATATTTACTCTAAGGAGCAGCTGCAGCCAAAAAAATATCCTGGTCAGATGTGCCTGTCTCAGCTGATTTACTCTGCCTGGAAATCCTGGATAAAATCAGCTCCTTTGCTCTGACTTGTGCTGGACCTGGCAAGGGCAGGTTGGACACGGGCTTTGCTTGGTCAGGGAAGTTATTTATTGCCAGGGAACAGCTCTGCCAAGTCCTGGAGTTCTGCAATTCCAGTCTGTGCCTTTGATTTCCATAAAATCCCAGCCCCTGGAGCCCAGTGACTGGGAAGCTTTCAAGGTTGCAGAGGATGTTTCTGTCACCTTCATATTTGCAGAGGAAAAGATGCAATGAGACCTTAAAGAGTAAAACAGGGCTTGAATTTACCACTCAAAAGCCCTCCTGGTGCACATCAGGGTCCTGCATTTTGGCACCTGGCCCTGATGTTCCTGTCACATCCACAAGTGAGGATGGGGAATCACAGAATCGTGGAATCCTGCAATGGTTTGAGTTGGAGGAGAGCTGAAATCTCATCTTGTTGCACACTTTCCACTACCCCAGGGTGCTCCAAGTCCTGTCCAGCCTGGCCCTGGACACTTCCAGGGATGGAGGAAGGTGGGGGCTGCATCCCACAGGGAAACTCAGGAACCTGGGTGGATGCTGGAGAGATCTGAGCAGGGAATGTTGCAATGACATTCCCGCAGTCATTTTTCAAATTATAACCATATTTGATGTTTAATTGGGACCACATTGCTTGAATTCCTGCAGCATCAGTATTAATACTTGACATCATTAATTTTTGTTTGTGTTACAGCCATTCTTAGGGAACGGTGTCAAAACATGTCACTCTCATTTAAAGCAGCTTTCAAGAGCTTTGCAGGGGTTTTTTTATCCCTTTGGCTTAGGTTTGGTGGGTCCTGCCAAACCACCCACCTCTCTTGTTGTATCGCTTTCACACAGTCTATCAAGAGGCCACTTTTATGATTTGGGGGCTTTTACAAAAGATTTTTCTCAAGACTGTCCTCATTTTACCTGGGAAGCACCAGCAAAAATTGCTTTCCCTGTTTCCTTTTCTTGTTCCCAGCATTTCCCACCACCACATTCACACCTTTGCTCCCTGTTCTCCTCCTCGTGCAGCAGTGCCACCATTTTCCACTTTCTACCCACTTCATCCATAATTTTGGACAGAACAGCACCATGGATGGATTTGAGGGTTAACTCTGGGCTTTCCCTTGTGCAATCCACTGGTGGTGCTTAATTCTCTTTTTTTTCATTACTCATTCGCTTCCCCAGGAATAAATCTGGAGTTTTATTTCAGTTGACAGCGGGGCTTTAAAGGGAATAAAAAAGGATTTTATGGTGAGGCAACGAAATAAGACATCAAGTATCCTTTTCTGTCTCATTTTGCCCCTTTAATACCTTATAATCACTGAAAGTTAGAACTCTTTAAAGGAGCTTTAGGACTTCAAAGCCATTGAGCTCCACACTGGACCCTCTCAGAGCTCAGCTGGAGCCTTCCCTGGGGCTGGGAATTGGCCCCTGGAGCAGCCCCGGGGGTGGCTGTGCGTGGAGGGCACTCCCGTGGGCAAAGAGGGGTTAATTCCTGCCGGGTTTGCAGGAGCAGCTGGGCACGGTTGGGGTTGGTAGAGGAGCTGATGGCATTCTGCTGTGCAGCTCCCACAGCTGCTGCTGCTTGCCCCAGCCCTATAAAAGCAGGATGGCCACAGTCTTTGCTCCTTTCTGAGCAGCCTCCTAGCTTCTCTGAGTGGGATTTTCCTTTTTTTCCTGCGGGAATTGTGTTCTCCCAGCACCCAAGGTAAGTGGAACATTCCCTGTTGTTGGGTCTGTGTGGTGTTGGAGCATTTTAAGGGTAGAAATCGAAGAGCCCCCTCACAGGAGGGTGCTGGCCTGTGCTTGGACTGATCTGTGGGCCTCTGTGGCGCCTTTTGAGCTGGAGCTGCTCAGCTTTGTCTGAGGAGGTTCTTGGGTCACCCCTGTGGTTACAGATCACCAGGGGCTTGTTTTGGGCAGTGCAGTGGGGAAATGAGGGGTTTTTTTTCCCTGTAGTAGTGCTGGAACACCCAGGGTTGCACTGAGCTCAGGGAGATTTCAGCCCTTGCTGTTGTGGTGCCCAGGCTGGGTGTGTGCAGCACCCTCAGGGATCCCTGAGCAAACACGGCTTTGTCCCAGTGCTGAGGGGCCCAGCTGGGCACTGCCCCGAGCTGCTCTGGTTTGTGGGTGAGAGGAGATGGTTTTATTGCAGGATGGGGCTGTTGGGTGGGTTTGGTGCCTCAGCGTGTGACTGTCACCCCTCCAAGTGTCCTCAAGGCAGCGACTCCTCAGGTGGAGCCGCCCCAGGGCACAGCCTGGGCAGGGAGCGGTCGGCTCTCCGTGCTGCAGCAGGGCCTGGGGTGCGTGGTGTGGCTCACCTGAGGGGCTGCTGGGACAGGGAGATGTTCTGAGCTGCTGCTTGAGCAGTGAAACTCACTCAAAAACTGCTCAGTTTTTCTGTGAGCGCCGGGGCTCGGCTGGAGGCATCAGCTGGATTCTCCTGGAGTTACAGGTGTGCCCCAAGTCCACTCCAGTGGAAGCCCTGAATTAGTAATTCTCATATTGGACCTGAGTCCTTGCAGGCTTTGGTGTGTGGACTGTGTTTATTTGACAGGATCCTCTTAATTTAGCAATAATGGGTTTTAAACTGTGCACTGGGCTGGGGAGGAGCAGCCAGTTGCTGCTGGTGAGTCCCAGAGGCTGCTGCTCCTCCTGAGCAGACATTCATCTTCCCAGTCCTTGACTTCGTTGCTGCTATGACTGAGAAATGCTTTTCAGCAGCCAGAATGGAAAAGAAATTATTGCTAAATTCATCCACTCTCAGGCCCTTTGTGGCACAGGTCTGGCCACAGTTTTATGGGGGCTGTCAGTCTTTGGGCCATAATGCTCCTCAGGGCTTTATCTCCACAGTGAAACTGGAGGGGCTTGTTCAATGCCTAATTCAGAGCTGGAATTCAAATTCAGGGCTCTGTGTGGGCTACCAAGGGAAAAGACAAAAATCCCTGTTGGTGCAGAGAAAGGAGCTGAGGTTTGGTTTGGGGTGTGATGCTGCTTGGCTTTGTGGGCTGTGAGTGGTGGAAGGTCTCCAGCTCTTTGGGATGTGGGTTAATGCATTTAGCAGGGCTGCTCTCACACCAACCTGTGCATCCCAAAGCTCTGGGTGCTCCAGGCTGGGGCTCTGCCTGCTCTGGGGTGGCACTGAGGTGGAGGAAGAGCTTTAACAGCTGCCCGGGGTGGTGCTGGCTCAGGGGATGGAGCTGCTGGTGCTTCTCAGGGGTGTGGGATGAGCCTCAGGAGCCAGAGGGGGGTTGTGGGGCTTTCCCTGACAAACACCAAGGCAAAAAAGTCAGATGTGTCTCCCATCCATCCCAAAGCCGTGTGGAGGGAGCTGGTGAGGGCACAGGGCTGAGGGGAGCTGGTGCAGGGGCTTGGGGAGAGGCTGGTGGTGAATCTGCTGCTCCCTGGCTGGTTGAAGCTCAGCTTTATGGCAGGGGCTTGGGGAGAGGCTGGTGAATCTGCTGCTCCCTGGCTGGTGAATCTGCTGCTCCCTGGCTGGTTGAAGCTCAGCTTTGGAGGAAATGGGAGCTGGGTGCTGCAGAGCTGTGCTGGGGAGGGGAGGTGCTGTACCTCCCCTCAGTGTGTCCTGAGCTTTGGGAGCAGGAGCTGCCTGGTGGGAGAGCGGGATCTGCTCTTGTGAGTGTCTAGCAGGGACTACGACCTTCCTAGAAAGCAAAAATAAAGATTCACCTCTATCTCCCCTCAGCTGGGGTGGGCTGGGGGCTCTGCAAGGGGGCCCATGGCATCACTGGCTGCTGGGTGATACCTACACCCCAAAACTGCATCCAGGAGCCTGGCTGAGTGCAGAGCATCCCGAGTTATTTCCTGTGAATAACTCCTTCTGCTCCCCTCAAAGGTCTTATTTTCTGTCTGGGGCGTGATGAAGCATTACTTGCTGCTTTGTGGATAATCCTTCCTATACTCCTGATTTATGGATGTGCTGGTGTGATGCACAAAGTGGCATCTGTGCTCTGCACACTGTGGGAACAACCCAAAATTGCTCTGAAACTCAACTGGCTTACAATTATATTGGATTCTATTAAATTAAAACACATAGCACATATATTACACAATAAACCACAGCTATTTCATGGATCAAATTAAGTTTTATTTGGGCAAATTACAACCTTTCTTACAGTTGGGCCTTTGTGAAACCATTCCTTTTTAATAAAAGCAGGCATTTTTGGCAAATGCTCTTAAAGTGTGCATTCCCAATAATTGCATATACTGTTGCTATTCTTTCTGGGATATATGTGCCTAATTATCTTCTGCTTAGGATAGGTTTAAATGAGTGGGATCTTCC